AGCTCCAATGAAGCCTGCAGGGTCCGGCTGGACCCACCTCCAGTGCCACATCTGGGCCCTGGTCCCGTCCTCACTGGCCTCAACTCCAAGGAGCTCTGCCCAACACCCTCCCTGCCCCCAGCAGCCAGGGCACTCCCTCAAGGACAGGACGAACCTCAGAGGCCACTGTGGCACTGGGAACAACTCGGCCTGCTGACCCTGGACCCGGCCAGGAGGCCCTGCACGCTGTCACCCCCTGCAGGTATGCCAGGCACCTCTGTGGAGGTCGCGGAGTGGGCACTGGGCTGTGTGAGGCAGCCACCTGCGTCACCTGTCAGCAATGACCACGAGGCCCACTCCACTGGGGCCACTGTGCTCGCAGTCTCCCTCCTTGCAGAGACCAGATGACGGAGTGCTGTTGCCAACTGTTTATTCAAAATCCTGAACGGGTGGTGCCTGGGCATGCGGCACACTCGGCCCACAGCAGTGTGACCAGCAGCTCCCAAGCCCCAGGCACACGGCCACAGCCAGGCGGCCAGGGGCAGCCGCCCCTGCCACTGATGGACTGCCGTTCAGGGTGCCCCGGGCTGAGGCCAGCTGGAGTAGTGAACCCCTAGCCCGGGGGTGAGTGAGGAGTGGCGCCCCAGTGTCCTGTGTACCCCAAGCTGGCCAGGAGGCCGAGGGGGCCTTTGGCTTCGTTCGCACTGGCCACCCCGTGCCAGGCATCACAGCTGCGTGAGTGGGTTTGCGTGTGAGAGCGTGTTGGGGCCTGATTGTCCCCTTCCTAAGGCGTTAACTGCTACAAGCGTCTCTACCTCTCCCGCTCAGAAAAGAGCCACAGGGCCCCGGTGATGTCCTCGAGGGGTCCCGGTGGCTCCAGTGCAGCCAGCACCCCTCAGCGTCTCTGGCTGGCAAGCCAGGAGAAGAAGGCGCGAGGCCGAGGGCGAGGGCGAGGCGCCTGGAGGATGCGCACAGTGCGTGGTGAGCGCCAGGCTTTGATGGTGGCGTCGTCGCTGGCCGTAAGCAGCAGCTCCTGCTCCTGGGGACTGAAAACCACTGAGTTGACCACATCATCGTGCCGCAGCTTGGCCAGGCAGATGTTGTAGTGGCGGTCCCAGATGTAGCCGTGCCGGTCCTCCGCCCCGCTGCAGAACAGCGCCTGGATGAGTTGGCTGCCGCCTGCAGGCGCCCACACCCACCCACCCATACCGCACCGCCCCGCACCTGGCCACAAAGTCCCTGCTGACATCCAGGAAGATGAAGAAGCACTCGTCGTTGGGTGTGTAGGCGCGGTGCGCACGTAGCGCCCGCCTCACCTCCCGCATGGTCTTCAGGTCGAACACCAGCAGGTCAATCTCCTCCGCGATGGGCGGCGGCTGCATGGGGTCAGCCACCACCGCACCACTGGGCCAGGCGCGGCTGTTCACATACAGGTACCTGGGCAAGGGGCACCACGCTAGATATGGGTCGCCTGCGGGAACCCTGCCCAGGACCCTGGTAAGATGCCCACCTGTTGTCGGGTGACAGGCCCATGCCAATGATGTGGCCGTGCACGTCTATGACGTGGTCCAGCGCGTCGAAGAAGGCGTCCGACCCCCGGCCCTCGCCCAGCACGGGCCCCGCCGTGGTCATCTGGTGTGGCAGGATCTGCTTAATGCCTACAGGGAGGGCTGAGGTGAGGATCCCTACCAGTGCCCAGGGACACCACTCCAGGGCAGCCCCCAGCCCAATGAGGCCTCCGAGCCTGTGAGTGCCTCAGAGGCGTGTGGGCACCGCCTGCTCCAAGGGCCCAGACCTGAATCAAGCCCATCAGTGGCGCGCTGGCCAGCGGCCTGTCTGTGTCTGTTTTTACCGCTCATCCCACAGGCCCGAGGACAAGGCCGGGTCTGGGGTTGCGGCACCAGGGGTGAGAATGATCCCAGCTTTGCCTGCGGACTTGCTTGCCGTTTGCCCCCAGAACCCCCGCCCAGCCTCCCCCAATCTCTGAGGACCAAGGCAGGGCTGGGGCAGTGTGGTGGCAGGGCTGTACCAATCTGGTGTGGGGAGTAGGTGAGGCAGCCAGTGGTGAAGATGAGGTACTTGCTCCTGGTGCCTGTGTCGCTGTGCTCAGGGGGCTTGGTGTGGCCCTGGGCCAGCAGCTCGGCCACCTTGGTCTCCAGCACGCAGTCTGACAGCTGTGGCTGCGCCCGCCCCTCCAACACGCTGTCCAGAAAGTGCCGCAAGCCCTCCTTGGCGTGGGCAGGGGCTGGGCTGGCCACCTCCTCCTCGTTGTTGCTGCCCAGGTCAAAGACACGGCAGGGGGATGTGCCTGGGTCGCCAGCGTCCAGCAGGAGGTCAGGGCTGTCGAAGCGGCTGCAGTCGGCCACCATCACAGTGCGGATGGTGCTGGCGTTGAGGTTCTGGATCTTGAACAGCCGCTTCACCACGTTGACGTTCTCTGACTCCACGTCCTGGGGGTGGGGCAAACGCCAGGTGGGCTCAGGCCCTGGGGAGGGCAGTCCCGGCCCCGGCCCCAGCCCCTTGGCCCACACCTGGAAGGCGTTGTTGAGCCACAGGACAGAGCAGGAGGTGATGTCTCCGATGCGGTGCAGGTTCCCTGAGATGAGGCTGGTCTCGGTCAGCCAGCAGCCAAACACGTCGTAGGGCTTATTCCGCACGCGGGACAGCAGTGCAAAGGAGTCTGTGGGGAGGCCAGGGCTGGACGCGCTGTTGGCCCGGGGAGGGCGAGGGCGGGGGCAGGGCCGGGGCTCACCAGGCGCCAGTGCTTACCTAGGCTGATGACCGCGATCTCGCCAGAGGAGGAGTTGTGTGGCCCCAGGAACACCCCTGAGGCCAGCAGCAGTGAGTCGTCCTGGTTGAACTGCGAGAACTGCGTGTAGCTCCAGTTGTATGGCCGCATGTCTGCGCTGTGCAGCAGCGAGACGGTCAGGTCGTTGCTCCAAATCTACACAGCAGGGTGGCCCTGGTGACCGCCTGGCCAAGTCTCGGGGCAGGGGCCTGCTGCTTAGAGGCCACCAGGGGGCAGGGACCCCTCCAGCCACTGTCATCGGCCCTGGGGCACTGGCACAAACAGCAGGAGCCTGCCCTGCAGCGGGAGGCTGTGAGTGTGTGTGGGGGGGGCCTCTCCTCTGGGTACTCCTGGCCACCCTGCACCGCTCCTGACCCTCCCATCTCACCTGGTTGGGAAGCTGGGGTCCTGGGACCTGGGTGCTGCAGTGGAGGGGTGGGGTGGGGGGGACACCAAGCGGTCCTCACCTTCACAGTGCAGTCCTTCGAGCAGGACGCGAACTGGTAGCCCGAGTGGGAGAAACTGAGGTGCAAGACCTGATCCGTGTGCTCCCGTAGCGTCTGCACCTCCACACAGGGCACCATGTCATACAGCCGCTGGAACTCCTCTAACCAGGACGTGGCCGCTGCGGGTGGGAAGTGTCAGCCCGTGGCCCGGGCCTCCCTCCTCGCAGTCAAGGCCACGAGCTGAGTGTGGCCCCCGCACTCCTGGCTGCAGTCCTTGGAGCTTGGGGGAAGCTCAGCAGGGGGCAGGGGTCCTGGGGGGGCAGATGCCAGTGGTGCTCCTGGAACCCACCAGTCCTGGCGTAGGCCTTGGCTGGGGGTTACAACCCTGTCACTCACAGAGACCCCTGTATCTATCCCCCACCCTGCAAGTGACCCAGTGAAGCTTTGGGCCTCCGGGCTGTGAGGGGGCCTGTGCGGTGTGCGGACAGGCCTGGATCAGGGTGAGGCTGAGAGAGTGGACACTCGGGGCGCAGGCCAGTCCCCCGCCAGGCTGACCCCCAAGCACAGGGGCCCGGGGCCTGGGCTGCCGAACGCGGGTGGGGCCCCGCACACCACGGACCTGGGTGTCGGGGCACGTCTCGGGCCACCTGGTAGTAGCGGTAGAACTGCTCCCTCCACAGGAACTCATCCCGCGACACGGCGAGCCACTGGCGGCACACCAGCCCCGCGGCCAGCACGTCGGCCGGGCCCAGGCTCAGGAAGATCTGGTAGACCAGGCTGTCGGGGAGCAGGGGCGTACCGCCCTCGTCCATCGTGACATTCTGCCCGGGCGGCCCTGAAACCCACCAACGGCTGCCCTGAGCCCAGGCCCGAGCAGGGAGGCCGGGAGCGGGCGCCGGGGATTCCACCGGGCTGCGTGTGTGCGGAGGACGCCCGGGCCCCGCCGCCGCGCCATCCCCGGCCTCCTGAAGCCGGCAGCGGGCGCCCCTCAGCCTCCGGGGCCGGGAGAGACGCACCCGAGGCACGGGGACACCGGGCGCTGACCGGGAACGCGCTCCGCAGGGGACAGGCTCGGGGCGGCGGGGCCGCGGCCCCCGCCCTGCGGCCCTGGGGAAGCCCTGCCCGGCGGGGACGCGCGCAAGGGCGGCCTCGGGCTCCTGCACTCGCCCAGGGCGGGTGGGGCCGACGAGGCCGGACCTCGAGGGCCGCAGGCGCACTCACCGCGGCCGCCTCCGCCCGCTGAGCCGCCCCCGCCCCGCGAGGCTCGAACCCGCTTCCGCCGCCGCCGCCGCCGCCGCCGCCGCCGCCGCTCGGACCGTCGCCCCCGCCCCGCAGGGAGCCTGCCAGGCCCGACGCCACGAGCCCCGAGGCATCGATGGCCACGGAAGGCCGAGCGCGCGCCCCTCGTGCGCCTGCGTCTCGGTCCCCGGCGGCCCGGCCGGCGCTTCTTTGTGCGCCTGCGCACACCTGGCCTCTTTGGGAACAGCGCCCCTTGTGGCCGGCGGTGCGGCGGTCGTGGGTGGGACTGCGGGCGAGGCTCCACGGCTAGTGGTTCGGGACCCGCCTCCGGCGCTTCCCGTTGCCGGGCCCTGAGCAAGTGGCTTCATGGACCCCGTGACGTTGGCCATGGAGCTAAGACCACTGGGTGATGGTTTAAGGAAGATAATGTGCAAACGGCTAAGGACTGACTGTCAGTGGAAGTCAGGGGTGCAGGGGAAAATGAATAAACAGCCAGAGGTCAACTTGGACTTTGTACATAGGACATGATACTAGGGCCCTGCCGGGAAGTGCAGATCGAAGCTGGGCTCACAAGAAGGCTGGAAGTGGGGTGTGGGGCTGGCTCAGGGCAGGGCTTGGAGAGGCAAGGGACGGACATGGACTTTCTGGGCTGGGCTCCGTGACTGCACAGCAGACTCTGGCCTGGGACTTGGTGGTGCTGCCCTTGGCCTCCCACAGTCTTGCCACCCCGCCGTCACCACCATGCTGCCCCCTGGGACTACAATCCTCTTGACTTTGCTCCTGGCAGCAGGCTCGCTGGGCCAGAGGCCTCGGAGGCCTCCCCAGCCACCATCCCCCATCAGCACCATCCAGCCCAAGGCCAATTTTGATGCTCAGCAGGTAGAAGTTGTTGGGGGGTAGAGGGAGGCAGGGGAGGGGGCACTCCCACAGTGCCTGCGAGTCCTCCTGTGGGCTGCCCCCAGTTTGCAGGCACCTGGCTCCTTGTGGCTGTGGGCTCTGCCTGCCGATTTCTTCGGGAGCAGAACCACCGGGCTGAGGCCACCACACTGCATGTGGCTCCCCAGGGCACAACCATGGCTGTCAGCACCTTCCAAAAGCTGTAAGTCCCAGAGCAGCCCTGCACCCGAGCCCCCACCCTCCTCTCAGCCCCAGACATCAACCCTGCCCTGAACCCTGACCCCACCTGGGCTATGCCGGGACTAGAGTTCCCCGTTGGAGTCCCTCTGGTGCCTTCCCCCAGGGATGGAATCTGCTGGCAGGTGCGCCAGCTCTACAGAGACACAAGGGTCCCTGGCCGATTCCTGCTTCCAGGTGAGGCAAGGGCCGCAGGGCCTGTGGGTGGGGGTGACGCAACCTCTGTGGCTCTCTGATGTGGCTACCGTGGCTCTGCCCCAGCCCGAGGCGCCCGAGGGGCCGTGCACGTGGTTGTCGCTGAGACTGACTACCAGAGTTTCGCTGTTCTCTACCTGGAGCGGGCAGGGCAGCTGTCGGTGAAGCTCTATGGTATGGGGGGCCTGGTCTCTGTGACTGGACAGGCACTCGAGCTCTGCACACTTACTGGGCCATCCCGGGGGGCTGGGTGAGCCCAGGGTGACATGCCCTCACTCCCTCCCTCCCATCCTGACTCCCCTGCTGAGCAGGGGCCCAGGGAGGAGCAGTGACAGGCCCAGTGTGGGGTCAGGGGACACAGAGACCGTGTCCCCAGAGCCCTCCACGAGGCCTGGTGCCGGGACCCCAGGAGCCCTCTCTGCCCTGCAGCCCGCTCACTCCCTGTGAGCGACTCAGTTCTGAGTGGGTTTGAGCAGCAGGTCCGGGAGGCCCACCTGACTGAAGACCAGATCTTCTTCTTCCCCAACTATGGTGAGTGTCCCCAGCAGATCCCCGCCTCAGCCACCCCCACTTTCTGGGCTGATGTCCAGCCTGACCCCTGCCTTGGGCCCCCAGGCTTCTGCGAGGCTGCAGACCAGTTCCACGTCCTGGAAGGTGAGTGCGCAGTGGGGCAAGCATGGAGGCGCGGTGAGGGGGGCCACGGCCAGGGGCTGAGTCTCATCTCTGCTGCAGAAGTGAGGAGGTGAGGCCAGCGCGCAGCTTCGGTGCTGAGAAGGCAGTGCCCCGAGAGACAACCCCACTGCCCGTCCTAGCCCACAGCTTCAGATCGGGACCCTGCCACCTGGGTCTGGGGGGGGGGATCTTTTGCCGGCTGCCCCAGAGCACAGTGGGTGGAGAGGCACCTTCTTATTAAATGTCTCAGCCTTCTCCCTGACTCTTTTCTGTCCACTCTGGAACTGCACCAGTACCACCAAGGCCCTCTCTGCCCTTGCCCCCCACCTGGTTGAAAGCCCGGGCTCTCTTTTGGTGGGAGTGCACACAGTGGGCACTGGGCTGATTTTAGCAGCTCTGGGGATTTGGGAGGGGAAATCCTCCTTGGCACACACCCACCTTGTGCCCTGCTGGGACCTGGGGCATCCAGCCTCGCTCCAAGGCTACCCTCGCCAGTCCATTGTCCTGCACCCCCAGGCTGCTCCTCCGTCTCCGTGGCGGCCAGCTGTCTTCCCTGCCCATTTTGGCCTCTTCTGAGCTGCGCTGGCACCAGCTGGCCTGTTGTCAGTGGCAGCAGTTGGTGCCCACTCATGGCCGCTGTACTCTCTGCGTGCCCCATCCACTCCCACGTCCCCCCTGAAACCAGGAAGCAGAACAGAACTAGGGGTGGGCCAGCTGTATCCTTGGGTCAGCCCCTGGGCTATGACCGGAGGGTTAGGAACCAGGCAGGGCTGGGCCACGCTGGGTCCGGACCTGGCTGCTCAGCAGCTCCCGTCAGGCCTGGCCTGGCCCGGCCCTGGGCCTTCGGCCCCTGGCATTTGCTTGATAAGCATTTCTGAAGGCCCACTGTGTGCAGAGTCCTGGGGCCACTGGGTGGGCTGGTCTCTCCCTCTAGGAGCTTGAATTCCAGGGATCAGCCACCAATTGGCCACAGCGGGCAGAGATGGGGGGAGAAAGTGCCTCGGACTTGGTCCCACCCCCCCACTCCATTCCCACCCCTCCCTCACCTCCCTCACACCCCTCTGTAACCACCCCTCCCACCCCTCCCTCACCTCCACTCCCACCCCTCCCTCACCTCCCTCCCAGCCCTCCCTCACCACCCCTCCCACCCCTCCCTCACCATCCCTTCCTAACCTCCCTTCCCACCCCTCCCACCCCCCCTCAACTCCACTCCCACCCCTCCCTCACCTTCATTCCCACTCTCCTCACCTCCGCCCCACCCCCCCAACCTCCTCTCCCACCCCTTTCCTCACCTCTTTTCCCCCCCCACTCCCTTTTTCTTTGGGCTTCTGAAGGACCCAGGACACCCAGGTGGCTGCAGGCCACAGGGCAAGAAGGGCCACTGCCTGGTCCCTGGAGGTCCTGGCCCCCAGCCCTGACCACATTGCCTACTGGCGTGTTCCAGACAGGACAGGGGCATGTGGCCTGGTCGGGGGCTGGGAGGAGCCAGCAGCTGCCCAAGGGCTCCCCATCCCACGGGCAGGTGTCATCCTGCTGTGCCCACCCAAGTTTCCTCAGCTGCTGGACCCCTAGAAGGGCAGGCAAGTCGGGTGGTAGAAGCAGGGCAGGGCCCTGACTGCTGGGACCTGGGAGGGAGAAGGGCCAGGAGGTCAAACCCTTGCATCACCCGCGCCCATATCCCAGAGACCCACAACATACAGACCAGCTTGCAGCAGAAGGGCTCAGCGTTCAGAGCTGGCAATTTTGGGAAGCCCTGTACATGAGCCCTGGGAGAGCCTCTTCCATGCCCGGCCCCCCATCCCCCAAATAGAAAGTGAGGATCTCATCTGGGGGCAGGAGTCGGGTAAAGCTGGCCATGGTCACAAGCTTCAAAGAGGGCTGAATGTCCAAGGGGTGGCGCCAGAGACCCACCCATGACCTGGGGTGCTGCGATTGGTGGGAGTGGCCCAGCCTGACTCTCCTCGCTGCCGGGCTGGGTGGGTTCCTGTGCTGCGTGGCCACTTGTCTGGCTGCACTGGGACCACAGGATGTGGAGCACAGGGATTACAGGCATTTCATTTTCACAGAAGCGTTTAATGAGCTTTAGTTAAATTTCAGACACTACATAAAATCACGACAGTTCTGTGTGAATCACTGTTCTCTAAAATCGTTTGCTTAATTTGGCTGGGCACGGTGGCTCATGTCTGTAATCTCAGCACTTTGGAGGACAAGGCAGATGGATCACTTGAGGCCAGGAGTTACAGACCAGCCTGGCCAACATGGTGAAACCCGTCTCTACTAAAAATACAAAAGTTAGCTGGACATGGTGGCAGGTGCCTGTAATATCCCAGCTACATCAGAGGCTGAGGCAGGAAAATCCCTTGAACCCAGGAGGCAGAGGTTGCAGTCAGCTGGGATCATGCCACTGCACTCCAACCTGGGCGACAGAGCAAGATTCTGACTCAAAAAAATTATACACACACACACACATATGTGTGTGTATATATATATATTTACACACAGAAATGGTGAGGTGTGGTGGCTCACACCTGTAATTCTAGCACTTTGGGAGGAAGAGGTGGGCGGATTCCTTGGGGTCAGGAGTTTGAAACCAGCCTGGCCAACTTGGTGAAGCCCCATCTGTGGGGGGAAACCCTGAAAGAGCTGAGGCAAGTGTCTGAGGCCTGAGCATGTTCTCATATAAACATAGAATTAGAAATGAATTAGAGATATAGTTACAGTTATTCCTATATATAATCGTAAAATCACATAGCTATTCATATGTAATCACAAATATACACACATATATAATCATGTAATCTTTAATCTTATTAATAAGCCTCAGGTCAAGAAGCATGGTACTGAAGTGATATTGGAGAAGAGGTGACCCTAAGGAGAGATGCTCTAAGTCCTCTGTCCCGCCCGCATAAGGGCTGCTGGAGGACGCCTCAGCTGTGTGACAGTGTCAGTGCTGGGAAAGCGCCCGCTGTTTAGCCAGCTAGGGAAGGAGACTTCCAAGATGGCTGAGACATCTCCTTCCTCGGGGAGGAGAAAACTCTGCTCCTCCAAGCTCTTGTGGCAGGCCCGACGGCTGTCAGGGAGACCCACAGACATCCAGGGACCTGTCTCTGTGGTGCTGTGCTTCAGCGGTCACGCTCCATGGCTACTTTCAAGTTCTGCTTCTGCACCTGGTTCCTCTTTTCCTTAGAAGATAAGAATTAGTAATAGTAACATAAATATTAGTGACCTTGCTATTTCTTGACAAGTATGGAAAAAGTGCTGATGCCTCAGGTTTTCTCCTCGCCTCCGCTTCTTCAAAGTCTTGGGCCCCCTGTCTCCAAGACATGTGAGTTAACTGACCCTGTCGCTGACCACCATTACCTCACCCTACCTGCCCTGCCCCCTGCTTTGTGCTCAGTAAAATTCAGAGCGTCCAGGCACTCGGGGCCACTGCCAACTCCGCGCTTTGGGTGGCAGTGGACCCTGGGCCCAAACTCTTTTCTCTTTCTCAGTGTCTTGTGTCTTTGATTTCCGCAGTTTCTCGTCTCCACACCAGCAGAGAGGGACTCACGGGACCCTGTAGGGCTGGATCCTACACCCGTCTCTACTAAAAATACAAACAAATTAGCCCAGCGTGGTGGTGGGCGCCTATAATTCCCATTTACTCGGGAGGCTGAGGCAAAGAATTGCTTTAACCTGGGAGGCAGAGGTTGCAGTGAGCCGAGATCGTGCCACTGCCCTCCAGCCTGGGCATCAGGGGGATACTCCGTCTCAGTTAAAAGGATCTTTAAAAAAAAAAGAAGAAGAAAAAGACCTGTGGGGTCAGGAGCCCAGGACTGCTCTGGGGGCCCCACCGTCCTGCTTGGACGTTAAACGGCTGTGTTGCCTGCGGCGCCCCTGGTCCCACAGGCAGGGCCAGACAGTCCAGGGCTGTGCGCTCTCTCCCGCTCTGGCCTGGTTCTCATCGCCCACGCAGCTGCTCAGAGGGACTGATGGACCCTGCACGTGGGGACGGGCACCCTCCTCCCCTCCCTGCCACGCCCCAGCCACTCCTGCCCCCACCCCACCCCAGGGGGCCTCCCACTGCCCAGGACCATGTCTGTGAAAAGCTGTTTGTCCCGGGAGTGGGAAGAGAGAGGGGAGGGTGAGCAGAGGACAGGCCAGGAACCGAGTAAGACGAAGTGAGGGAGAAGCCTGTTCTTGCTGTGGGGGAGGCAGAGGTGAAGGTGGGGGCGGGGAGCGGAGCGAAGGGAGAGGCCCCCAAGGTGGGCTGGGGGTCCAGGGAGCTGAACGGAGGTGGCGGTTTCCTTCCCGCCTCTCAGGGGCGCGCTGCGGACGCGCGAAGGCTCCTTCCCAGGCACCAAGCTCCGGACACGGCCTCCCGGAGCGCGGGGCTCCCAGCGGGGGCAGCCGCGCCCGTCCTCCCTCCCCACGCGGCGCGGGAGGCCAAGGGCAGAGCCGGGACTGCCCGGGCGCCCAGCAGGTGCCCCGAAGCCTGCGCCCCGCCGACCCGCCCCAGCGCCCCCGCCAGCCAGGAAAATGCACCCGCTAGGCCGGAGCGCGCGGCGGGGCTCACGTGCCTCCCTCCACCAATCACGGAGCGCACGGCGGGATCACGTGCCTCCATCCACCAATCACATTAGGCGTGAGGGGCGGTGCCCCAGACCACTGTCCCGCCCAGGAGGCTCCCGAAGGGGGCGTGCGGGGCACAGAACTTAACGTGGCGCCTACGGCTACCAGCAGGCACACGGAGACCCCTGGGGCGGCAGGAGTGGGTCTGGGGAGGGAGCGTGGGGCCTGGGGCACTGCCTGGAGCCCAGGGACCCTCCTCTGTGTCGAGGACTTGGCCCACCCGACCTCTGCTGCTCTGAGGTCTCTGTGGGGTTCAAGCTGGCCAGGGAAGGCCGGGTCTCCCGCAGGGCCCTGCGTGGTGGTGGTGGGGGGGAGGGCGTGGCAGGGACCGTCCTCTACACGGTGTGTGCTGTGATTCCACATCTCCCCCGTGCCCTGCGATAAGCCGGACTCCGGGAGGGGTGCCTGCTGAGCCCAGAGCAGGACCCTGGGGCTGATGACAGGGGCTCCCTGGCTGGCTTGGGCAAGGGGCGGGGGGTTGGAGAGTCGAGGCTCCTCTGGGGAGCTCAGGGGAATGAACACATTCTTTCCAACTTTTCTTTTCCTGGGCCAGCGTCCCGAAACCTGCAGTTGTGCTGGTGAGACAGGCACAGCAAGCGGCCCTTCCACGCAGCCAGCGAGGCCTGGGACGGAGCCCAGCCCTGGAGCTCTCAAGTCCCCAGGGCCAGGCTCTCTGAGTGGCCAGGCTGGGGCTGCCACCCAGGGCAGGCTGCCGAGGCCCAGGGCACTCCTGGGATGAGCCCAAGTCCCTTGTGAGCAGGGCTGGGTGAGAGGAGGAGGTGGCCAGGACAGGGAATCTGGGGTGGGAGGATGTAGCTATTGGTGAGACTTGTTCCCAGTATATCAACGTGGATTCAAGATCTCTCAAAGTGATTGAGTGGTTGGTGAAAGGGTAAAAAAAGACAATTTTTTTCAAAGCTGGGCCCAGGGGAGACACCACATAAAGCCACTCAGTGGATGTCTTGAGTTCCCCTGAAAAACTCAGTGTTTATTATGCTCTTTCAATAGGGGAGGGTGAGCGAGGGTGCACAAAGTTCCAGTGATAATTATACAAAAAGAATACATTTGCAAAAACTGGTGCATAGAAGTCACAACGTGGTATGATGAAAGCAGAACAATGCAAAGATAGCTTTCTGTGTGTCAGCAGAGAAACCATGCACCTTAGCAAGAAGAGAGGTTAAACATAAACTTATGATTATCAGCAAGAACGCATTGGGCTCACAGCTGCAGGGGGAACAGGATCTGACACAGGACAACCAGCCTGACCACAAGAACTGCAAGGGGAGGAGGCCTCCACACGGGCCTGGAGGAGCCGGGGGAGAAGAAAGACTTTTACATCCTTATTGCCACCACAGAGTCAGGGGCCCCTCATGGGTCCATTGATAGGCTCTCCATAAGGGTCCCATCCCTTTTCCAGGGCCCTAATCAATATGCCTTTCCTGGGAAAGAATCCAGGTAATAAGCCTCTCCGTTACATGTCCGTGTATAGGCTCCCTTCAATGAGAAGCCGATGACACGCTGTCATCTCTCTCTGCAGTCAAGCCGTGTGGTTAGTCCCTTTTACAGAGTTCCTGTTTTTACCAGAACAGTTCAACAGAGCCAAAGTCACAAGTCACATTTCAGCATTTCACATTTTTCTTCATTTTCTCGAATATAATTGATACAGTAACTAACAAGCATCACAAAGCAAATAATGCATTTTGGGGAAACCAAATTCTAAGAGAGTTTAAAGATTAAAAATCAACAATTTCTTGTTATTTCAGATAGCTCGGGTTTTGCCAATTCTTCCAGAAGCTTGGGGTTGCTCAGTCACCCCCAAGGGGTCCACGGTATTCCCAGCAGGTGGCCAGGACAGGGACCCTGGGGGAGGAAGCAGCCAAGGCAGGGAGTCAGGGGATCTGGGGTGGGAGGAGGCGGCCAGGAGGGGCCTGAGGGGAGGAGGCAGGGAGTCTGGGGTGGGAGGAGGTGGCCCTGGTGGGGCTCACAGGACAGGCACACTGTGAGTGAGAGGCACCTGGCTGGGCCTTGGTGACTCTATAACATGGAGCCCAGCGCCCACAGGCTTCAGCTGCCTGTGGGGGTGGGAGGAGAAGAGGTCAGGACGGGGACTCCACTCCCTAGCCCCATAGTCCAAGAGGTGCCGGGATAGCTAGAAGCCCAAGTCTGCCAATGCCCTACCTGCCAGCCCTCTTTTTAAATTTTAAATTTTTATATTTTTAGAGATGAAATCTCTGTTGCCCAGGCTCGGGTGCAGTGACACGATCATAGCTCACTGCAGCCTCAAACTCCTGGGATAAAGCATTCCTCCCACCTCAGCCTCTCAAGTAGCTGGGACCACAGGCATCACACCATCACACCCAGCTAATTTGAAAATTTTTTGTAGAAATGGGGTCTCACTACATGGCCCAAGCTGGCCTCAAACTCCTGGCTCAAGCGATCCTCCCTCCTTGGCCACCCGAAGTGCTGGGATTATAGGTGCAAGCCTCTGCCCCACCTGCCCCCCCTCTCTTTCAGGCAGGACCTGAATGGGGGCCACACTCTCATCAATGGGGCTTCCCAGCCCTGCCCCTCCCTCTGGGCAGAAGCTACCTTTGCAATGCCCCAGCCATCCTCACCTCCACCTCTGCCCTCCTGGCCGCAGGCCCCTACCTGGTCCTATACTTGCTCAGAGCCAGGCCCACGCTGTGGTTCAGGCATGTTTGGAGCGGGGTGGGGTCAGGCAGGCCCAGGCCCTGCAGGAGGAGTGCCCGGCCTAGGCCGCAGCTGGGTCCTGTGCCTTAGGGCTGCGGCAGGTCACGCTCTCTGCCTGGGACACAACATTGCAGGACAGGGAGGGAGGCTGGAGAAGACGAGGTGGAAGGTGGCCCTGAGGGGGCCCTCCTACTCTGCTTGACTGGAACCCAAGAGACCCCAGGTGGGTGGCTGGGACCTGAGGAGAGCCTGCCCCACCCTGCCCACCCCAGGCCTGCCCTGGGCACCACCTCTACTGCCGGTCCTCAGGAGGGAGGCAGGGGGCGGGTCCCCTTGGGAGTGGCACCTGCCAGGTACACACATAAAAAGGTAGGTCTCTGGTCACCCTGCTCGTAGCTACTTTCTTCTCGCTGTCCCTGTGGGCCCAGTAGCTGCCAGGATGAGGCCACCGTGCGGCCTGTGGCTGTGGCTCTCCTTGCTGAAAGTCCTTCAGGGCCAGACCCCAACCCCCCTGCCACTCCCGTCCCCGATGCAGAGCTTCCAAGGAAACCAGGTACAAGGCCACAGCTTCCAAGGAAACCAGGTGTAGGGAGAGGTGGCTGAACAGGCCTGGGGGTGCTGCCCAGAGAGTCAGGACCAGCCCTGCTCCCGGGTGTTTCCCCGACCTCCAGTAGAGGATGACCTCGTGCAGACCCGCCTGGCACCTGTCCCGTTCCCTACCCTCTCCCATTTTTCCCTCTGTGTGTGAGGGGAAACTGAGGCCCAGGATGGCCGCACAGCCACTGGCCAGGGTCACCGCGTCCCTGTCAGACCCGGTCGGCTACAGTTCCTGCCAGTGTCCCTGGCACCGGAGTGCTGCTCTGTGAGGGGTCCTGGCCCAGAAGCTGCTAGGGAGGGTGGGAGGGGGCTCCTGGCCCCACCCATTGCCCCCCTGCAGTTCCAGGGGGAGTGGTTCGTCTTGGGCCTGGCGGGCAACAGCTTCAGTCCAGAGCACAGGACGCTGCTGAACCCTTTCACCGCCACTTTCGAGCTTGGCGAGGACGGCCGCTTTCAGGTCTGGAACACCATGACTCGGTGAGTGGCCAGCACCCTACTCCCAGCCCCAATCCAGGCAGGCGAGGAGAATCCCAGGCCGGGTCCCAGCAGCCAGAGGCTCTGGTGCACCAGGGGCCCATCTCGTGACACTGCTGCCCATGACCAAACCCAGCTCGGGGGTATACAAAAAAGTGCGGGTGGCTGGGCGCTGGCTTACACCTGTATCCAACCACTTCGGGGGCAGAGGCAGAAGGATCACTTGAACTCAGGAGTTTGAGGCCAGCCTGGGCGACACAGACACCGTCTCCACTCATGACGCTTGGCCACTCACGCTGTGAGTGAGTGGCTGAAATCTTCTGGTCCCTCTGAATGAGCGGCTGAAATCTTCTGGGGGCCACCTTGGCATGGACCTGCCAGCTTCCAGAACCCGTCCCCTCTCACAGAGGCCAGCGCTGTGACACGTGGTCTTATGTGCTGATTCCGGCCGCACAGCCCGGGCAGTTCACTGTGGACCACGGCGGGGGTGAGCAGGTCACAGCTGGGAGGGACGGGGCGCCGTCCCACAGGGACGTGACGTCTATGTACCCTCAGAGCCCGGGGCGGACAGAGAGGAGACGCGAGTAGTGAATAGCTACTACACCCAGTTCGCGCTGATGCTGTCCCGCAGACACAGGCAGCCTGGCCATCCTCAGGATCAGCCTGCTGGGTGAGCCCCTGCCCCGCCCCGGGCCTGTGTGGCCCTGGAGGCCCCTCCTTCCTGGGGGTCCCATCCCTGCTTCCCCACCCAGCCTGGAGCCACTTAGGGGTACAGATAGCTTAATCTCCCCCTACCCACCCTGGCCACCCACGCACTGCCAAGTGCACAGACCTATGCTGGGCTCCCTGGGCTGTAGGCAGGAGCTGGTTCCTGCCTCCCGGGACGCTGGACCAGTTCATCTGCCTGGGCAGAGCTCAGGGCCTCTCGGACAACAGCATTGTCTTCCCAGATGTGACTGGTAAAGGGCTCGTCTGCAGGCAGGCTGGGCAGTGGGCACCGGGCCTGCCAGAGTGAGTCTGGTTGACTCTAGAGGGGCTGGACCTGGTATCTGCCCATGGAGCTCCCTCAGCCTGCACTCAGGGGTCTCAAGGCTCTTGGGTCCCTGCCCTCAACCCAGGTTCTGAGCCACCTCCTCCCACCCTGGGTCCTCTATCCTAGCCACCTCCTCCCCTCACCCAGCCCTGCTCACAAAGAGCTTGGACTCATCCCAGGCGGTGTCCTGGGCCTCAGCAGCCTGCCCCGGGTGGCCACCCCAGCCTGGCCACTCAGAGAGCCTCGGCTCCCAAGGCCTGACTCTTATTGCAGAAGGACAAGGATAGCCCCAAGCACCTCCTCTTCCAGGAGCGTTGCCCATTGTGCCCTTCTGATTTCTGCCTCTGGTCCTTTACATGTGCATAGCCACATGCACACACACACATGTATAAATGTGTACAGACCGGCACATGCCTGCACATGCAAACACCCACTTAGACACACAGGCACTCATACTTGCACACATGCTGTATACTCATGCAAGGCATGAGTGCTGGTGTGCACACACCTACACACACCTGCAGGCTCCTACACACACCTGCATGCACCTGCACACTCCTGAACACAACTGCACGCACCTGCACGCTCCTGCACACATCGGCACACACCTGTACAGTCCTGTATGTACCTGCATACATCTGCACACTCCTGCACGCTCTTGCATGCTCACTATGCCAGGCCTCCTGGGTCTGCAGTGAGTCTGGGAGCCCATGGGGGCAGGTAGGACCAGGTGAGAGGCTTCCTGAGGACCCAGGGCTTCCCGGCCTCCCCCACCCCAGCCCCTTCCCCTAAGCCCACTGCTGGTCCCCTTTCTCCCTATTGCTCCTTGCCTGAAGCCACCAGTCCCCTCTTTTGTACCCCACTTGCTTCATCCTGGGCTCTGTACCCCGCTCTCCCCTTGTCCATCTCTACTACATCTCCCCCACCAGGCTTGTCATTCCAGGCCAGTGGCTGTTGAAGCATGAAGCAGCTCCTGCTGCACCCAGCCCTGCCTCACAGCTTCACCAGCTCTGCCCTCCTCCGCTCTCAAACCTGAATAAATGCACTAAGCCCGGAGCCCCAGAATGTGACCTCTGTGACCTTGGCTGGGTAGGGGGACAAGGACAAGCGGACCACTGACCCTGCAGGGCAAAGACAGCTCCTTCCCTGGCACCCCACGGCCCCCCAGCCGGCTCTGTCTGGCCTGTGTGTGTGTGTCAATGTGAGTGTGCACATGTGTATGCGTGAGTCTTTGCACATGGTTGTGGGTTGTTGGCAGGGCAGCTCCTGTAGGCCATGTCCTCTGCTCCTCCATCCCTGCCCTTGGGCCCTTGGCTGTATGAGTTGCAGACCTTTCGGCACCTTGGCCAGCACTCGGGGCCGACGTGTCAGGTGCAGCCAGGCTGGAGCTTGCCCCGGGAACACTTGGCCCCTGAGGTGTCCCAAGCAGTGGCTGTGCTGTCAGCCTGAGCCCCCCAACCCTGACTGTACACCCTGCAAGACGGCTGCATTTGGAAGCCCAGCCCCATCAGGCAGCCAGAGCAACCTATCTCTCAGTCCTTCCATGTCTGTGTCCATCTTGGCCCCCATTGTCCTCCAGGCAGAGAGAGCAGGGCACTGCCCAGGGCAGCCATGGACCCTAGTGGTCTCTGGCCTTGCTAGAGAGCAGAGAGCATCCAGAGGCCCCCAACTTGTCCCATGTGCAGGCCTGTGCCAGTCTGTACACATTTGCACATGCGTGAGTGTGTGTGCACACAGCTATGCACATCCTGCTACTCAGGAGCCTGGTCCTGCTGAGAATCCTTCTACCATCATGTGCACCCCTGCCGGGCAGGCTGTGTAGGATCCAAGCAGATTCTGAAATTGGAGGATGGGCAGAGACAGCAGACATCCTGGAACCCCTCCCTGCCCTGATGACCCCAACAAGGTGGACCCCCAAGATCAACTCAATGACACCACCTGTGGTGCTTACTGCAGCCACAATTCAACTTTCTCTGTGTGTCTGACTCCCCAGCACACAACCCCCACAAGACCAGGTACAGGCCTGCTGTGTCCATCACTTTTTCCCACGTTCCAACATAGCACCTGATACAGAGAAGGCTGCTGAATAATGAGTGGATGGATGAATGGATGGGTGGGTAGATGGATAGTTGGATGGATAATTAAATGATGAGTGGGTGGGTGGAGGGATAGTTGGATGATGGGTGGGTGGGTGGATGGATGGATGGTGGATGGTGGATGGATGATGGTTGGGTAGATGGATAGATGAGTGAATAAATGGGTGGGTGGGTGGATGAGTAGATGAATGCATCGATGGCTGGCTGGTTGGGTGATGGGTCGGGGGGGTGAATGGATGTTTGGATGATGGGTGGGTGGGTGGGTGGATGGATGGATGGATGGTTGGATGGTGGATGGGTGGGTGGTTGGGTGATGGGCAGGTGGATGGATGGGTATTTCAGTGGATAAATGGATGGATGGATGGAGGGGTGGGTGGATGGATAGTGGATGGATGATGTTTTTTTACTCTTTTGTTCTTGTGCCCTGGATGAGGAGGCTGAGCTTAAAAGGAGCAAGTTTGGTTGTGTCTGGATTGAGAGACTTTCTATACTGGATGGTCATGAGGACACAAGCCTGGGCGTCAGGAATCCTGGACCACAGCATGTATTGGGTTTGACCCTGGGAAGGCTGAAAGTGACGGTGGCTGTCTTTTGGCAGAAAGGGCCTGTTGATGTTCCTTCCTGAACACGTCAGGGAAGGTTCACTCCATCCTGGGGTGAGGGTCAGACACAAGGTCCCCAGAGCAATGGCCTCACTCTCTACCACCTCAGCCCTTCCCCTCACCTCTCCTCCTGCTGGACCTCGGTGTTCCCATGGGTGAGACTTGCTCTGCAGGGCCAGGACCTGAGCCTTCACAGCCTGGGGCCTGGGCCACACCCTTACCTGATGCCTGGCTGCAGCAGGGGTGGCTGCTGCATGGGGTCCAGGCAAGGATCCAGGACAAAAGAGAGGAGTGGCTGGGGGAGGCTCAGCTTGAGCAAGGAGCCCCGCCCCTCCCTGACAACCTAAGAGAGCCTCCAAAGGCCACCTTCTCCCTCTTGACCTGGCACAGCCTTTGCCAGTGGGAATCCTCTTTAGTCGCTCTGCACAGGTGGGGAAACTGCAGTTTCCGGAAGGCTGCCTGGTCACTAGGTGGGGTCAGCCTGCCCCTGCCAGCTTCCCCCGTCAAGGCAGGGAACATAACCCTGGTTGCAAGATCATGACCACCAAATGCAGGTGGGACCTGCCGCCTTCCTGGCACCCAGCTGCACCCTCCGGTGGTGGCCAGCTCCCCAGACACAGGCACAAGCAGGGAGTCAGACTCCCCGACAGTCCCTCCTCCTCCCCCTCCCCCTTCCCCCTCCCTTTTCCCCCTCCTCCTCCCCGCTCCCTTTTCCCCCTCCTCCTCCCCACTCTTCCTCCCTGGTGTCGTCTCTGCACAGCCCAGTGCACTCCCCCTCCCTCCACATCACCTCCTGGGGAGAAAAGATGCTGCCTAGATCTGTGTTCCTTCCCAGCTCCTACCGGGAGGGCAGGCTTCAGGCCTGGCTGGATCCAGGACCCCAGCCACCTTCTTCTGCTTCACTGACCCTGGCAGGAGCGGCCATGCAGTCCCACTGGCCCACTTGGCTTTCACCTGGCTTGCAGGATAGTGTCTCTCCCAGAAGTCCTCAATCCTGGGTGGAGGCTACATCTCACTTCGGTGGTCAGGGAGCCCCTCCATACATCTCTCTCTGTCTTGGACTCTGGCTACCACAGCCCCTCTCATCCTGTCTCTCCTGGGGTGACATAACTCTCTGGCCCTGATGGTAGCCCCTGTGTGAACCTCCTCCCCCTCAGGTCCCCCAGGGGCACCAGCAGCTGAAGGCCCCTTCCCCATGTCTTGCCTGCACTAGGGGACAGGGCTGGGAGCAGGTGGCGTGGAGCTGAGGCCAGGCAGGTGGTCCAGGGATGTCTGCCCACATGTGCCCAACCCACAGGCCTGGGGCCAGACACAGACCAGAGACAGTGCCCACCTGCCCACCTGTCTGCTTGCTGGAGTTGACCCAGGCTGGCCCAGTGGGGTGGGGTGTCCTGCTCGACCTGTGCCCACGACCCACGTACCGCAGCCCAGGCCCCTGTGGCTGGCCGATCGAATCTCTTTATCCTGCCCTGAGTGGAGCTGCTCCCAGCTCACCATCTGGGCCTGCTGGGCCCGGGAACAGCCTGTGCCTGCGCCTCCCACAGAACAGGGTCAGCGGGGCTTGGGGGTAGGGGGGTCTGGGTGGAAGTGCTGCTCCCAGGGCTGGCTTTCCATCCTCCAGGGGCTACTATCACCCCGAAGTGGCAGAGGGGGCCGGTCCCCGAAGGCAGCTGTGGTCCCTTTCAGCCATGTCCAGGGCCCCACCACAGCCACACGGAACCCCTGCCGACAACGGTGACCACAGGAGCCTGGGCCTGCGACAGTAACCACAGACAGGCCACCCAGGGCTCCTGCTTCTATGGTGGGCGCCAGTGGGAAGCCGCTCCCACACGGTTCACGGTGGGGAGGGGCCCTCTGACCTCACCCCACGACACCCCTTCCCAGGGCTCGTGTCCCCTCCGACCACCCTACCTGTGGGGCACCTTCCTTCCCCAGGCTGCCCCACAGGACACGCACTCAGCTGTCCCCACTCAGACACCGAGGGCAGCCCAGGAGAGGCTGGGCAGGCAGGGATGGAGCTTGTAAGTCCAAGCCAGGCTGTCCACAGGTGCAGGAGGGGGCTGGGCCCAGCTTCTCTTCGAAATGCTCAGACCTGGGGTGACCAGGCTGCTCCTGGATATCTACCCCAGTGCCCCCAACTAGGAAATTGAGGCACAGGTGGTGGAAGACCTGCCAGGGACACCCAGTGCCTGAGCCCATGCTGCTTTCCTGGGGTTAGGCTGTGGAGCCCCTGGGCGGAGCGGGAAGCGTGGGGTCCCCTCAGCACTGTTCTGTCTTTTTGGGTCCTGGGCCCGCCCCATTCAGGCCTTCATCTGAGGGTGTGTAGTATGCGATGGGGAGGTGGACGCAGCTGTGCCCTGACCTCAGAGTGGCCTGACCTGGGTTCGGGGCTGGATCAGAAAACAGACACAAAAGGCCACAAACTACGTGATTCCATTTACAAAGTTCTAGAAGAGGCCAAACTTGTCTCAGGTGATGGGAATCAGATCTGTGGCTGCTGTGTCCGGGGTGGGGACGTGGTGAGGCAGGGTAGAATGTTCTGTGGCTGCGGTGAGGGTTCTCCCTGCAGCCAGAGGGGCGGGTCATTGGAATGTTCTGTGTCGCGGATGGGAGCACCGCCTGCAGCTGGCAGGTGCGGGGGTCAGGGTTCCACGTTGGGATCAGGTTTTGCTCACGAGGGTGCTGGGGCTCATCGAGGTGTGTGATTCCGGTGCCCGGATTGCTGAGTGCCGAACACGCCTCGCAGGAGCTCGCGCTCCAGAAACGAAGACTAAATGAGGACTTTTTCAAACAAACAAAGCCTGCGGAAATTCATCACCAACAGACCCTTAATAAAAACACACTCAAGGTTGTTCTTCAGTTGGAAGGAAAATCATCTCAGAAGGAGGTCCAGGAGGGCTGGGGAGGGAAGGGAAGGCCGGGCCTGGGGGGCCGGGCCACAGCTGTGTG